TAGTATTGTTGCTGCCGCCATGTCGTGAAGGCAAGCAGAGTCCAGCCCGGGGGTCGTCACATGTGGTTGCCGCAAGCCCACCTGCCGCTCCTTCGTCGAATCCGCTGGCAGCGCCGTTCTCAAGCCCGCCTGCCACCGCTCACTCTAGCTGCCGGCCTCCGCTCACTCAAGCCCGAGTATGTGGAAAATAATGTGTTTTTTTAACTTTAATCCGCATAAACACATTTCATTACACCAAATACACAAAATAATGTTCTTTTTAGCAACATCATATGACCCCTTTAAGGTTTGACTAATAACTCATGCAGAAGGGTTATTACTTCAGTCTTAGCAAGCTCTAGGAGCTCTTTTCAGGGGTCGGCTCTCTCAGTGCCTTGACACTGACACAAGACACCACTACACCGCTGGCATTTTACCCTCCCAACCATACGAGACAGCTAGACACTCTAAAGCCCCGGCAACAGAGACAGAGCGCTGAAGCCTAAGCTGTGAAGAGACAGGTAAACAAAAGCCTGCTGCTGTTCTGCAACACTGTATATGGCATCAGAGGGACGCTTAATGATTGTAAGTGGAGACCAGGTCATGTTCACCATTGTGAAAATGCTCTCACTGAAGTAATGGGGTCTCTTAAGTACGGTTTTAGCTTACTGGTAAACAAGCTGCACTAGCGTGTTTTCTAAAGGCGATGTCTGGCTGGTTTGCAGAGTGTTTTCACAGTGTGAAGTTCAGTCTTGCTTTAGTTAAATTTTAATTTCAGCTGATTTACTGTTATGTGCTTCTGAGATATGCAAGTAACCAAGCTTTTAATGCGACTGAAACTTAATAATATAGTCGAATGCAATAATGAAACTACTCAATGAATCATTTCACAGCTTATAACATTATATTAAATGGCTGTCATATGAAACATTTTTGGCTGCTGTACATAGCATTAAATTGCATGCTGACACTAGGTCAGTGTGTGGGATTTCTAACTGATTATGTGGTGATTCATTGTTCTCATTGTAATCAGGGGTCCTGCATTAAATGTCAGAAGATGAAATTTGTATCTGAGCTTTTTTGTATATTTCATCTCTCTCCCTCATTCTGTGTGATGTGAATGGGAATAACCTTGTCCCAGTGAAAGAGCCATTTGAAATGCTTTTCAACCTGCTTCCGGTGTTTAAACACAGCTTATCTGAACATTTTTAAATAGACACCAGCTTTACATGCCCATTGAACAAATAATGGTTCAAGGCAATTCATTTTGCAGCTGTAAACATACCAGCTGGCTTTTGCCAAGCAATATAGAGACAAATCCTTCACTTTGGGGCGAGTTGTCTGTTTAATTGAGAGATTGTAGCCTTTTAATTTGTTTCTGACACATTTAAGCAGTCATCTGACGTGCACTAGCTGGATATAGTCTTGGATCCTCAGATAACTGAATGCATAGTTCTTCTTGTCTTTCACTTGCAGTTTGGCTTGTGTTGTGCCAAGTTTTCTTGAGGGTCTCATCAGCTGTTATGACCACTTGATTTAACTTCCAGTCATCATGATTCAGAGAGTCTTGTCACAAATTGAAAAGAAATTCATAAAGTGTGGCAGTGATGTCTTAAAAAACAGGTGACAAGACAAGCTACTAAAGGAAATCAACAGACCGGCTGAGAAATATTGACTTGAATTTGAAGTGAAAAGTCTGGTTCACATTACAGCTTATTCTCAATGACGGACGGACATGTTAAGCAAATAACTAGTTTTAGTTTTTCTGTTTCCTTTTATGAGCCATCTCATATGAGCCATCTCTTATGTTTATCTGAAATATTTTATAGCATGATAATGAACCAGCCTGGAAAACATTTATTCAAAATCAGTATGGCAGAAAAAAAAAACTGCAAAAAAATAAAATAAATAATGACATAAAAAAAAAAAAATCGAAATAGAATTTGCATCAAATTTGACACCAAACCTAAATGTAGGGTTGCACAATTTGGGAAAAATTATATTTATTATTAAATAATACTACTAATAATAATTATATACAAATATTATTTATGTGTATGTATATATATATATATATATATATATATATACTTTTGTAAAAAAATAAAATAAATACAGAGCCACACTTCACAGTGAACATACAGCATATTTATTTGATTTGATTAAATCACAGCCTTTGTGTAATTTCAGTTTTTTTTTTCATATAATGGTGTATATTTAAAAGTATAAGGTGGTACTGATGTAGCATTGCAGCAAGACGTAGTGAGTATTTCTACACAATCACATGAGACTAAACAGGTGTTGCGATTATAAAGATCCAGGGGCTCCTTTCAAGGATGCACACCATGTTTGTGCACACAAATCCTTCACTTATCACAGGCTGTCAGCCAGAATAGTAAAGAGCTCCATTACAAACAACTGTAAAGCTTATATAGTCGCTGCAACCTGTGGCATCTCCATGCAGTGAATTATGGTCTTTAAATATATAGGAGCGACTGGAAAGGAAACAATGTGCTCTGACCTCACCTCTACCTCTCTCTGCCTCAGTGGAAGTGTGAAAGCATGTCGAGTTCACGTTTACACTCTTGATGCACACCAGTGTGTTCTGCTGTTGAAAGGATGCCTCGTGACTTCAAAGCATTCCTGTTCAGATAGGGAGGGTTTTACATTCAAGGCTTTGAGGTCAGTTTGCATCCATTTAAAAATAGCTTATATTTTGAGGGGGAAAAAAATAAATCAACACCCAATTTTTATAATGCCAAGAAACTACATTTCATGTCTTCTATTTGGTTTCAAATTTATTTTATTTATTAATTGATTTTATGAGCTTTTTATTATAAATAATTTCAGAGCTCTACTATGGCTTCTTCTGCATGGCTTGTCTGCCAAATATTCAGGACGTAGCGTGGGAGTTGATGGTGGTGGAGTCATGTCTGATACCAGTTGCTTTATCTCTTAGGAACCAGTGAGCTTCCTGCACTTTGCTTGAATACTACTACAGTCTCCAAGGCTGAATTTATCTTGGCTCTTTATTACAACAGAACAGCGCTCTTTCATACTGTTACTGTATATTGCTTTCAGTTAGCTTAAAGACTGTATATTTACGAAGAAACATTTGGGTTCCGGAAGTAAAAATTATATTAATTTTCTTCATAGGGGAATTGATTTTGAAACCTTTAAAGAGCTACAAGGTTAATGTAGCAAGGTTTTTAATAAATGGTATATTCTTTTGTTGAAGCCACCAGATGCATTATTTAATCCTTTTTTTTTTAAATGATCATGTTTAACAGTGAGAATTCCGGTTAAAAACTACATTACCCATGATTCTGCAGATAAATTTCCAGAAATCGGAGAATCAAAACAATCAAATTGCATCAAAAGAATGCTTTAGCTTCCACCCACTACCATAAAGCGCTGCAAATGATGTAATTGTTTTATATTTCTTCATAATTTTTCATTTGATTGTCATTCGTAATGTTTCATGAGATTGTAGTTCTTACCCTCATTAAAGCCGTTAAGCACACAGTCGTGCACCTTTGTCTTTTTACCTGGTTTTCAAATTTTTGTTTTTTGGTAAAAGATGCAAAGTTTGTTGTGCTTCACCTCAGCTGATTGGTTTGGTTCACTGCTTATAGCCTGTAACTCTTTAACAGAGACTTTTAATTAATAGAAAAACATTAGGATAAATACTTTCAAGGTCCAAGGAACCAAAGTTGTTGAAAAAGTGGGCAGGCACTGTTGCAGTCTATATGGCAGAATAAGTCCCACCTTCTACATAAATGAGCCAATCGTCAGTTGGTAAAGTCATTGGAGCTGCCATTAGAAGCAGTTAGTGTCCTGAGACGTGTGCTTGGGACTGTGCATTGGCTGGACCAACCTGCTAATGAAGCTTAAGAAACAACATCTATGGGATGGTTATTGTCAGATTTTGGTGCTGATTTTTCCTTATGAAATTTCGCTAATGTGTCCATACCTTAAAGCAACTGTATGTAGTTCTGAGTATTTTTTTTAGATTATGTAGAGTTTGAGTGAAATTCACCATTGTAAATATATCACTGTCATAATTACAGCGAATAATTGTACAAGTGGCTTTGGCTGTACACATGCATTTGTTGCTGCCGTAAAGTAATCCGGCCTTTTCACTGAATTTCGTACCCACTCACCAAACTTGCATACTCCCAGTCCCAAAACATACATCTGGTGAAAGAAACAAAAGCCATTCGCCTTATTTGAAGTCGGTGTACCATTAGAATGATTTTGTTAAAGTGACATTTCAAGATAAAAAATGTGCATACAGTTGTTTTAAGTTACGTTGTAGTTTGAGCGTATAATTATAATTATATAACCTTCAGATTTCTTTATCAGACTTCTTTTCTTTTGTGTTCCTTTTGCACACATTTTCGATTAACACTCTGCAGCCATTAAACAGATTTGAAAGGTGCTTTTTATCAGCTCAGACATAGACTGCAGTGTAACTTTGATTACAGTACTTATGCATGCAGTTATTTAGTCTCTTGTTGTTATTTAGTCTCTTGGTGTTCATTTCATGAAGCACTTTAATGCATAGTAGAGACAATGCCCCTGTTCATATGGTGCACAGTCTGTTTCTGCTGTGCAGTCGTGTCCCCCTCAAATGTAACAGACCACTCTTGATGTTGATGCAGTTTCCTAAAATAGGCACATTGGAAATACATGTCACGCTGACATGTTGCCAAACCTCAGACTATGTTACACTGAGAGTATAAATCTTTTCCAGTTGTACCTTACTAACTTACTGTTTGTAATATTATAGATGATATTAGGTTATATACTGCATATATGTTTGCATTAATCTGTGGTTACTCTGTAAGCAACATGATTAAAGAGGCAAAACACCACTGATTATCACTGGTGTGTGTGATTTGTTTTGTGACGGACATGTCTAGGAAAATCCAAGGTGTTGATTGTGCTGATGTTCAGATGGTGTTTTTGTGGCATAATAATCACCATGCTAATTCGCTTTGTTTTTGTCTTATCTGTAGCCATAACCAGAAGACGACTACTTTCATACATCCAGTGACAGGCCAGATCTCTGCTGAGAATTCTGATTTCAGACTTCAGGACCAGTAAGTATTGTCTTTTGACATGACTAGGTCACTTCTTGTTTGGTTTTATTTATGTTCTGTCGCAAACTAGCAGCCCAGTTCTTGAGTTTGGTTTCTAATAACATAGATGAAATATTGAGACTTCATATACTTTTAAGTTGCTAAACAGCTCAGGCTGCTTGTCTCATGCTCCATGCATGTCAGCAAGGGCTTTTATTAAGCATGAATGAAGCATGAGTGAATTGCATATGGAACCAAAATTATCCCAGCAGCATTTTCTCTCAAAACTGTTTTTAAAGATTAAATGTAAGCCTGTAATGGGTACAAATAATAAATTGCAGGGTACATTTATCACATTTGACCCGATGAGCGTTTAAATAGTAACATTACCAACTATTAATTAAAAGCTATTAATAGACTTGTATCAGTAATTAAGTGATGCAAGTTGCATAATCAGATTACTTTTTTTTAAGTAACTAGTGATGTAATGCATTACTTTTTAATTTACAAGAAAATATCTATCTTTTTCAAATTAGTAATGCCAGTTCCTTTGTTTTCCCATTTATTGACTGGCAGCAAAGCTGAAAGGTTTGTTTGAGCTGAATCCTCTACTGTACAAATGTGAATTAGCATTTCTTTCAGATGGAGGCTTATTCATTTCACTTTTAGTGTCGAAGAGCTTTTACATTTGCCAAAAAAAGAAATGTCTTATGTTAAAAACAAAAAAGCAAGCCCAGCACCGATGAGAAAAACTAACGCAAAAGTAGCACAACGCATTACTTTCCACGAAAAGTAACTAATACAATTAGTTACTTTTTTAGGGAGTAACGCAATATTGTAATGCATTACTTTTAAAAGTAACTTTCCCCAACACTGGTAATTAAATAGGAGTATTTCCTATTTTGATATTATACACTACCATTCAAATATTTGGGGTCAGTAAGGTATTTTTTGAAAGAAATTAATACTTTTTTTCAGCAAGAATGCATTAAATTTATCAAACATGACAGTAAAGACTTTTACATTGTTACATAAAAAAATTACATTTCAAATGAATGCTGTTCTTTTTTGCTAAACTTGATTTTTATCAAAGAATCCTGGTTAAAACATATCACGATATTCATTAAGTAGCACAACTGTTATCAACACTGATTATAAGAAATGTTTCTTAGACACCAAATCAGCATATTAGATTGATTTCTGAAGGATTTATGTGGACTAATGGCTGCTGAAAATTCACAGAAATAGATTAAATTTGAAAAAATATATTAAAATAGAAAACAGTTATTTAATTATATTTTACAATATTACTGTTTTTACTATATTTTTATCAAATAAATGCAGGCTTGGTGAACTTAAGAGACTTTTTAAAAAGCATTTTAAAAATCAGTACCATCATACGGTTGTGATATATCATGCTAATGATCTATATGTTAGCAGATGCAGAGCTGGAAGGATACAGCTGACTTAAGTATCACATGTCTCCACTGGCATTTGCCAATAGTCTCACTCACTCAGATCCCCTCTTGCTGCTGTCAAGTTGTAACTTATATTATAGCTGTCTGTTTTCTCAAACATGCGCACAGGGCACTTGGGTTGTTATGCTCTTCAATAATGGTTTGTACAGGAAAATATGTCGAAATTCAGTGGTATTCCTTATCAGAGACAAACTTTGGGCTGTTTCATTTTATGCTGTTAAGAGATACATCAAAATCTTTCAGGTTATGTTAGGGAACCTCATAATAACGCTACACAGTCCAACAGCCTTAGTCCGAGAAGGATCTGCCATTAGAACATTGTTTCAACAGCTGCCCACCGGTCTTATCTAACCTGGATCTCTCTAAAAGCAGCTCATATTAGTGCATATATTTCAAAGACTGGGCCTCTCTTAGCGTCTGTCTGTGAGCAGGAGGCTGTATTCTCCTGCCACTTCCAAATGAATGCATTTCATTAACAGCTGTGTGGGTGCATGGGGCTTTCTGAGAACCGCAGGTAATGTGTCATTGGCTCTTAATGTATCAGCAGACCAGGCACATGCTGGAAAGATCTAATATGTGCTGTAGGGATCATATAATAACCTAACTACTATACATTAAGCAGAGTATGAGGATAGATTGTTCTGGAAGAACTTGTTCTCCTTTGATACTTTTATTGAAATATAATTGTGACTCAATTTTAAATTTTTGGTATAACTTTTTGGTAAACGGACTTTGGTGCAGAATAGGGTTGGGCCGATAGACGATGCCATTGTCCATCGCCGATGGCTGATACACATCACGATGTTGAGCCGACATCGTGATCCCCCCCCCATACCCCCCGCAATCCGCCGCATCCAAATACCATGTTCGGAAAGAAAATGACATGTATACGGAACCCCTAAAGGGAATAAATATGAGATGGGAGGAAAGTACATATTTTAATAATTTCTCTCGCAGTTATATCATTGGGTAATTATACAGTATATAAATAGTGGGCATCAGGGAGCCGCTATTATGCCTGGCATTGAAACTGCTTTTGAATGCACGAGCGCTTTTTAGTTTCACTTTCACTTTTAAGATTCGCGATCACACGTACTCTGTTTATACTATGGAGTGGCAGTACTTACCACACATTTTACAAGATTAGATGTTTGTCAGTGGTGCTCAGAATCTGCAATTCATTCTCAATCGTCCTCAGTCATCTCTCCTCCTTACTAGTGGTAAGTGGAATTTTATTTACTGTTATGTAACAGGCAACCATGGAGTGGCAGTACTTTCCACACATTTTACAAGATTAGATGTTTGTCAGTGGTGCTCAGAATCTGCAATTCATTCTCAATCGTCCTCAGTCATCTCTCCTCCTTACTAGTGGTAAGTGGAATTTTATTTACTGTTATGTAACAGGCAACCATTAGCAATCGTTTTCTCGTTTCGGGCACAACCCCAAACCCCCCCCTCCGCCGATGTCATCATCCATCGTGATGCTTCACTGTAGACATCGCCCGATGCCAATTTTGTAGACATCGCCCAACCCTAGTGCAGAACTCATTTTGCACTGTTTTTTACCACAGACATATATTATACTATTGCTTTTCTAAGTGATCATACAATTTTCTGGTGGAAAACATGCAGTAACATCTTATATTGACACATCTAATATATCATAGAGACTCAATATATCAGAGAGGACTCGTTTGGCTTGGGACAGTATACACAGACCCTGTATGGGGCCCCAGAGGCCCCTCAACATATCTAAGCATCAGAATATCCCAGTTTGATTTTGGTGTTATTTATGAACTATTATAATATTAGTTCATATTTTGACTTGACATCGCTGAATCAACAATGAACTGATTTAACTAATAAACTGACTGTTTTCTATTGTCCTCTTGCATTATCGGCACAGGTTTTTCCTATTTAACACTGTAAAGCTGCTTTAACACAATCTGTATTGTATAAAGCACTGTATAAATAAAGGTGACTTGACTTGAATAAGAATTTATTTTTATGTTTTCCGTTTTCTTTTTAGTAGTTTAAGTTTTAGTAATTTTATTATGTGCATTTGTCATTTTTATTTTATTTTATTTTATTATTATTATTATAATATATAAATTTCCAGTTAGCTTTAATATATTTTTATTTTAGTTTTTTTAATTTTAGTGCTTAAATTTATTTATTTCAGTTAGCTGCCAAGACGGAAAACAATTAATAGTTTTAGTTAACAATAACATAACTGCCATAGACAGTGAGTCACAGTGAGATTGTATCAGTTTATATAGCTTTTAAATTTTAGGCTAGCTTTAAACATCAATATTTTCATACCTAAAAGATTTCTAAACTTCAAAAGCAATGTTTTTAGAAATTTTGATCCTTTCATGTCAGTGCTGCACCATGCTGCTATACCGTGCTGATTCTTTCCACACCTTTACTAAGAGCCACTGAATAAAAGGTGCTAGAGAGATTTGAGTGCCCAAAGCCCACAGATTCTTCAAGTGTGCATATCTAGAAGGATGGTCTGTTTTTCTTTTTCTTTTGTATGTTGGCTCTTTGCATATCTGGCCATCTGTTCTAAGATTCTAAGTGTGAGAGCCGTGCTGTGAGGATTCCTGAACCATCTCCTTGCTGACTCTACCTCTTATATAAGGAGAATCTGATTAAAATTGATGAAAAAGAACAAACATATGTCATACAGGTTTATGTGAATGGTTTGGGTTATGGTTTGCCATAACTATAACACAGTGGCATTTTATGGTAGTGAGGTTTTGGGAGTAGAGTATAAGAATAGTTTGAAGAGGACAGAAATGATATATTTTGTCGCACTGTTCTTATGATTTGACAGTCCTCAAAGTCAGAGTATAATGACAGTTATGCAAAGTAAATCTTCCATTGTTGTTTAGGCAGTAGATTGTATTTACTAAATGTTGTGGTCCTTGTAGACAGTTTCCTTTGTAATTATGCCAGCTGGAATCAGTAGATGAGACATTTTATCTATAAGCACTCAGAAAAAGCTGCAATCTATGTATGGTTTTTTAGTCAGGGAGTGCTTTTGTGATAAAGGATAGAAAGAGATAGAACAGATTTAACATGCATTTGACATACATCTGAACAGATTTTAAAATACTGGGCATTATGCACTTGTTGACTTTGTAAATAGTTACAGTGGAAGAACTACTGGGCATCGTACACTAAACGGTTGAGGATCACACACTACCAGACTTTCAAGTCAGTCTGAACACAAGAAACTCACGCAGAAACACGTAGCTTATTGTTATAGTAGGAAGCACATGACAAATGAAGACAGTGTGTTCTAAAATCAGCTCAAAATATCACACTTGTTTGATATCCTCCATCTGGATGGAATCATAATCTGTAGCTAAAAAAAATCAGAGTCTGTGGCCATCAAACACTATGCAAATTTCTATGAAATCTGTCAGCTCAAATCTGCAAACTGGCTCTGACTTTCGGCAACTAGTGTCAACTTGTCCAGACTGAAAATCAGGGCAAAAAACTGGACAAATCTTGTGTAGAGTATTCTAGTCTTAA